ACCGACTCAACGGTACTTACCAACAACAGCAACATATATACATATATATATACATATATTGTTGTTGTTGTTGTTGTTAAGTGCCGTCGAATCGGTTCCAACCCATAGCAACCCTGTACAGGGTTTCCGAGGCTGTAAATCTTTATGGGAACAGAAAGCCTCATCTTTCTCCCGTGGAACGGCTAGTAGTTTCGAACTGCTGACCTTGCGGTTCGCAGCCTGATTCGTAACCACTGCGCTACCAGAGCTCTCTCTCTCTCTATATATATATATATATACCTGATGTTCTGGAAATTTGCCCTGATCCAAGGAAAAATAATGAAATGCCTCTATGGAGAGTTAAGTAACGTAGATCTGAAAAATTGCCCCATGAATGGACAAGCATTTTCTACCTGGGCACACTGGTCTATATTTAGCTGGAAGGACAATGATGTAATTTAAGTAAAGACAATGGTCACACCCATTTGAATTTAAGCGGGAGCATGATAAAAATGATTATCAAAAAGCCAGGCAAAATCTTAGCTCTAATCAAAAGTTCACACAGTGTCTACAGTGTGCCATATGTAACTGATTCCTGATATTCTGTTACAATTCTAGTTTTGCAGAATCCTGCTATAGGAAAAATGGAGCTGTTCGATGTATTTGCAAAGAAAACTATGCTGGACCCAACTGTGAAAGGTAAGTTAATAAGATTCTCTATTTTCTGTATCAGAAAAATGAACTTTTTCTTTCTAACCCTCATCAGCTCTGCCATACCCCCATTCGGAAAGTCTGGAAGTGGGTGGTTAAGCTGAGGAGTTGGTGGTGGTGTTAAGTGCCATCGGGTCAGTTCTGACTCATAACAACCCTGTAGAGGGTTTCCAAGGAACATTTCAGAATCCTTTAGGGAACTTTCATCAAACTCCATACCCTAGATATAACTATAATAATATATTTCCTGGAGTCCAAGCCAGGACCAGTTCTCAGGGTGAAGAAACAAAGAAAGAGGAAATTGAGTGTGTGTGTTTTGACTAGGTTCTGTTGACATATTTGATAGCACTTTGTTCTCTCTGTACTATTGAGAACCGGTACTACAATTCATGATTGTTGTCGGTGTTGTTGTTAGGTGCCATGGAGTCAATTCTGACATACAGCAACCCTATGAGTTTAACACAACAAAAGATTACTCAGTTCTGTGCCATCCTCACAATTGTTGCCACATTTGAGCCCATGTTTGCTGTCACTGTGTCAAAATCATCTCATTGGGAGGTCTTCCTCTTTTTACTCTGACCCTCCACTTTACCAAGCATTATGTCCTGGTCCCTCCTAAAAACATGTCCAAAGCATGAGAGATGAAGTCCCGCCATCCTAGTTTCTAAGGACATTCAGAATGTACTTCTTCCAAGATAATTTGTTTGTTCTTTTGGCAGTCCACAAGTGACTTGTATATTCGAACTGCTAACTTTGCAGTTTGCATTCAACACTGACCCACACTACACTACCAGGGCCCTTAAAACACACAAAAAAATGTTGCCATGAAGCTAATTCCAACTCATAACCATCCCCTATAGGACAGAGTAGAAATACTCCTTAGGGTTTCCTAGGAAAGGAGCTCTGGTAGCGTAGTGGTTATGAATCGGGCTGCGAGCCGCAAGGTCAGCAGTTCAAAACTAGCAGTCGTTCCGCGGGAGAAAAATGAGGCTTTCTGCTCCCGTAAAGATTTATAGCCTCAGAAACCCTGTACAGGGTCACTATGAGTCGGAACCGACTCCACGGCACATAACAACAACAACAACAATTTTTACGGAAGGCTGACTTTGTTCTACAGAGCAGCCGGTGTATCCAAACCCCCAACCTTTCCCTTAGCAGCACAGTGCTTAACTCCTACTGCCCTGAAAAGTCATCAAATTCCATGAGAGTTTGTGTTTTCTGGATCTCTGTTTTATATTTATACTTAATCATTTTAAATTGCTGTGGACTTTGCTCATATAAGAGAAGCATTTGGTCACTAATGATGTGAATGTGCTCATTTAATGATTTCTTGCTAAGACATTTCCCATTTTGTCCACCTTCCTCACAGTTTTCTAAGTTAAAGTGGCTTCTGCTGAATGTCACTGAGAGGTCTTGTTTGAAACAGAAATGCCATAAACATTGCCCTTACTTGTTGTGCTTAGGCAGCCAAACAATGTGTGGTGCCTTAAAACAGGGACCGATGAGCCAGGAGCCCCTCCTCAAAGCCAGTGGGTGCTTGCCTCAGAAACAACATGCTCAGGCTGCACCTCTTCAAGATGACTCCCAAACACAGGTGGGGTTTAAACTAAGCAATCTTGCTTCTGAAGAAAATATACTCCAGCTCTCAAATTGTAGCTCTGGAACTCTAAATAGCCAGAGTGCCTACATTACAGAGAAAATCTCTACACTTGGAAAGATAGAATGATAGCTGCTATGGCTTCCATTTAGATTCATGGCAACACTGCACAGTCATGCGTTACACTCACAACTGCCGTTATGTGCAAGTTCGTTGTTGTGGATCAAGCACATCCCCTGAGGATTTCCTTTGCTGGCCCTCTGCTTCACCAAACATGAGGACCTCTTCCAGCAGTTGATCCCTTCTGATGATGTGTGTGTCAAAGCAAGCAAGTTGGACAATGCTCTGGTTTGTTCCATAAGGTTTTCATTGGCTCATTTTTGGAAGTAGATTGCAAGTCCTCTGTTAATAGTTTGTTTTAGAAGCTCCAGTAAAACCTGCGCACCATGGACAGCCATTGGTATCTGAAACACCAGTGGTATCGCTTCCGGCATCATAGCAACACACAGTCCACTACAGTACAACTGACAATAGAAGAGCATTGTTATTATGATTGTTATATGCATAAAAATATGGTGAATTATTTTATTAAATGGGTTTTTACTAAAGGGTTGTGGATGGGTTTTGGGTTTTGGGGGTGTTTTTGTTGTTGTTGTTGTTTCCTATAAGGGTAGAGGGAAAGTGAGGACTGATAGCCTACATGATTAAGCGATTACCTTCACGTAACTCTTGTATTTTCTATGTGAGGACTCAGGAACTGGAGGTACCTGATTGACTTGCTCAGTGGGGGTCTGAGAGGATGGTTAATCAGACATGCATGAAGCTTTTCCTTTGCGATGTCTAAGATAAAGCTCATTTTAGTCTGATAATGATGGGGAAATGATACCAGCTAATAGGTGTTGATGACTTCTATGAGGGGAGTTAATGGCCTTGAGTAGGGCCCTGCTGAGCAAATGCAGTGCCTCTCAGAAGTGAAATCATCTCAGCCCCTATGGGCTCAGTACTGCAGAATAACACACAGGCACAGATGAGGGTCTGTTAGCAACAGTTGTGGGGGCTTGCTTAGGATAGCATGCTCAACTTTAGATTTGTTGTAGGGACAGAAAGAGACCCATCTTGACATATACAAAGATTACAGAGGCTCTTTATTAAGTCTCAAACAGGAGTGAAAACAAGACACAGACAAACACTGATAACCCAGATAAGGGAAATCAGATGCTCTAATGAATTCCCAATGTTCTACCTCCATGAAGTCACCTTTTATAGGGCACAAGAGAAGAAAAGCTTCTCCTACCACAACTGACAGGTCTAAGGATGCCGGGAGGAGACTATTGCAGATAGGAAAACTTGCATACTGTCTCTGAGGCTATTTGGGTATGACATGACAAATACATGACCATTAAGGCAGCCATTATAGGGGCATGCCCAAGAGAGTTCCTGGGAAGGCCAGCTGGATGAAGTGGCCAAAAACCCACTTTTAAATATACTCTACTTCTAACTCTGGCCATTCAGCTGTCAGAGGTGCATGAGATACTCCAGAAAAAAACGGCATCTGAACATTTAAACATAGGCACAAGATGGAATTAAGGCCTGCCTGTCTAGAGTCTTTCTCAAGCAAAAAGCCTTCAGGTTTCATGCTCTACAGCAGATTGTACATGATAAATCCCTGACCTACAGTGCAGGCTCACAGGACATGCATTATCCAGGCTGGGTCACACTTAGTGTTGATCAGACCTGAGAATGATATTAGTGAGGTAAGAGCATCAATTCTTAGGAGGTGGAAGGGAAGTAGTTAAAGTATTAGATTTGTTCTGGGGGGCTGGGGGGATGGGGGAGAAATGCCTCAAATTCAAATATATTTTACTGAGAACCCTTTAATTAGGACCGAAACAAGACAAAGACAAATCATCAAGTTGAGAAAAACCATCAGCATTAGTTCATAATGGTGTCCAAAGGATTCATAGCTATGCGGCTGATTGTAGATGATAGAAAACAAAGGAAATCATCACAAAATCATGACTGGTAGAAGAGCAATTCACCACTGTAGCAGATGGGACTAGAGAAGCAGGGAAAGGACCGTAACTGGGTTATGTACACAACTGCAGATTAGAAAAGTTTACAGGGTTCACTCTGGGTCCTTTCAATTGCCTGGCTACTAGATGATTGGGGTATGACTCATGACCAGGGGGCCCAGAAACCCCAAACTCCAGACGATGCATATATGTAAATCATTAAGGGCACACCCAAGGAAGTCCCCTCAGGGCAAGATTGCCCATCCCTGGGTTGGTTGTTGTTAGGTGCCTTCAAGTCAGTTCTGAAAAAAAAACAAAACAATACATCCCTGTCCTGCACCATCCACACAATTATTTTTTGTATGAGTCCATTTTTGCTCCCATTGTATCAGTCCGTCTCATCGAGGGCTCTTACACTTTTTCACTGGCCTTCCACTTTTCCGAGCATGAGGTCCTTCACCAGTGACTAGTCCCTCCTGAAAATATACAAAGAACAAATGGTGAAGTCTCACCATTCTCAATTTTAAGGAGCATTCTGACTGTATTTCTTCCCAGATATATTTGTTTGTTCTTCAGGCAGCCCATAGTACTTTCAGTATTCCTCACCAACATCATAATTAAAGGCATCGATTCTTCTATATCCTTCCTTACTCATTGTCCAACTTTCATATGCATATGAGATGACTGAATCGCTTTGGTCAGGTGTACCTAAATCCTCAAAGTGACATCTGTGTACTTTAACACTTGAAAGAAGTTTTCTGTAGTAGATTTGCCTAACACAGTGTATGTTTTGATTTCTTGACTACTGGTTCCCTGAATGTTGATTGTGGATCCCAGCAAAACAAAGTCTTAGACAACTTGAATCTTTTCTCCATTTATCATGTTGTTATTTATTGGTCCAGTTGTGAGGATTTTTATTTTCTTTCCATTCAGGTGCAATCAATACTTACATTAATTAGTAAATATTTCAAATCCTCTTTACTTTCAAGTTGTTAATGAGTCTTTCTCCAATCTTGATGCCATGTTTTTCTTCATATAAACCTTCTCGGAATATTTGCTCAGTATACCTATTGAATAAGTATAATAAAAAGATGCCCACCTTTCCTGATTTTAAACCATTCAGTATCTCCTTGTTCTGTTTGAATTACTGCCTATATTTTTGGTCTATGTATAGCTTCCTCATGAGCACAAAGAAGTATTCTGGAGTTCCCATTCTTTGCAATGTTTTTCATAGCTTGTTATGATTCACATGGTCGAATAAGTAAACATCTTTCTGGTATTCTCTGCTTTCATCCAAGATCTACATAACATCACCAATGATATCCCTAGTTTCGTAGCCTCTTCTGAATCAAGCTAGATTTTCTGACCGTTCCCTTTGG